AATCCAGTCCAAGGGCACTACAGGATCAATATACTTCATAAAGTATCTTGTATTATCATGTGAGCAAAATAAAGCAATATGGTTGGCTAATTTGCTCATGAATTATTATTGATTTGTGGTGAACAATGATGGTAATGCATGTAGGTATTATCAGTGGAGTAGATCAGTATTTATTTACTTATTCGATATTCTCATTCGGATACACAGTATTTATATTATCAACACATATATCCCTCTCATGGACAGGGTTAACAGTATGGTCATGTCTGAGAAGCTAAAATGCACCCTGGTGGAGGAGCTGAAACTCACAGCAGCAAATCTATAAGAAAAAGTCAACTAGTATGGACACGAAAAACCAGGCTGAATCGTTCCTTGTTATTCTAGATAGTGGCTAAATACCAACTTATGTCACAATATAAATATAATACATGTAATAGTTCAAACAGGAGAAGTAGAACTTTACCAGACAAAAGCCAGGACAGCTTATTGCAGAATACATGCAATCTCGTTTTGAGCATGCAAGCCCTTGGCCAGGATCCAATAAGTGGGATTTTATTGCTCTGATGAAAACCTGGGTTCAAAGATGAAAACATTTCTTTCAATTATAGATAGCTATAATGTTTTGTAAATGTTAATGAATTTTATATTTCCTCCCAATTTATCTTTTTTTATGATGAATTTCGAGTTTATATAAATATCCCTTAAAGCCCGGTACGGACTGGGAAACACTGTTGTCATATTATTTGTCTTTCCAATCTTTCGGTATGTCATATTGTCTTATCAGCGTCGGCAAACGGATAAAGAGTGTTTCATAAAATGCTTCTGAATTCTGAATTTGGTAGGAAATAATTTGCTTTCTGGGAAGCAAATTTTGCGTCTGCAATAAAAGCCAATTAAAAATCACGAATATTTCCGCGACATTGTTTCTTACGTTTGGCCAAGGCTTTAAGTTTAGCAGAATATTTCATTTGTTCCTTGATCGTGTGAATTGTATGCATATATATTTTTTATTCTCCGTCCTGTTTGATACAGGTGGGTTTTTTACCTCACACAAATTTGTATTGAATTAGGATGTTAATATAAAGTAGAATTAAACGTTAAAACGGTATTTTGAAACAATAGCCAATGAATTGAAGTGATTTAGCATATGAGCAAGCAAAATATACAGTGTGTTTTTAACAATATTTAATGTGGGTGTATTTATATTACAAGGTTTGATCAGTATTCCGTGATTTTATTTTGTTGTTTTTGCGGAGGAAATCGGCGAAACCCCCCAGTGAGAATCTATTTTTATAGTCTGCGCGTGCGCAGTGCGAGTTTGGCTGAGTTGCGCATGCGTATTTGCTACCAAAATAATGGCGGTTCGAATATTTCGAAGCGCGAAAATATCAAACTTTGGAGGGATTTTTCTCCCAATTGTGCACCTGTTTCACTTGGGGAGCAACGGATTCTGATAAAGTAAGTTTTTATCTATTTATTCATGTGAAAATTACGTAGTTCCACGAGGGGTGCAACGGAATTGCATCTTTTGGATGCTCATCCCACGGCCTATAAAAGCATAATAAATATCAGCGCGGAAATTCTAATGTATCTGGAGTAGTATCCATCATAATACTTTCAATACGGGGGGGGAGTAGTTATGAGTTTAGAACGTATCAGCATAAATACATGCAACTTTTGGCACCTAAAGCATAGTTTTGTGTTTATGACGTCATCAACCAAAAATGGCGGAATTCAAGATGACGGAACGATGACGTCATTAGATTACATAATCTATTAAAAATTCCGAGGACGTGCAAAGAATACTTCAGATAATCAATCAATTCCTTAAATAAAAGTTAAATTCTTTCAATAGAAACCCGCAAAATCTCTGTTTTCTCATACTCTGACCCATAAAAATATCTGGCCCGGAAAAGTATTTATACAAACCTTCGGCTTTATACTTATGCACCTATCAATGTTTTCCCTGTGGTGGTAAACCCAGGGGAATTTTGACATTTTTAAAATTTTGTGGTCAAAATCCCCACTGTTGGGCAAGGAACGGCCGTCGAAATTCCCCACTATATTCCTAAGATAACAAGGCACACATATGTTTTCCAATGCGAACATACTTGGTAAAAACGTTTAAACTTGGTAAAAATTGAGACACTGTGTATAAAAGGCTATAAAATACCTTTTTCGATGAAACTTGATCGTGCATTTCCGCCATACCTGTTACCAGGCCTTTCAATGTCAAAACCGCGCAAACTTTCAAGATGGCGGATGTCAAAATTTCCCGACTCTGGGAGTTGATGCATGGTCAAAATCCCCACTGTTGGGCAAGGAACGGCCGTCAAAATTCCCCACTATATTCCTAAGATAACAAGGCACACATATGTTTTCCAATGCGAACATACAGTCTATACTGGTTTAAACTTGGTAAAAATTGAGACACTGTGTATAAAAGGCTATAAAATACCTTTTTTCGATGAAACTTGATCGTGCATTTCCGCCATACCTGTTACCAGGCCTTTCAATGACCTGTTACCAGGCCGCGCAAACTTTCAAGATGGCGGATGTCAAAAGTTTCCGACTCTGGGAGTTGATGCATGGTCAAATTCCCCTTGCTGGGGCTTCATAGTGTGGTCAAAGTCCCCTGGGTCGCCCGCACTCCCCCCCCCCCATCAGGGGGAAAACAATGATAGGTGCATTATTTTCACTAGGGATTCATTCCTAAGTAACCGATAATGTTTTGAAATAGCACAACAACCTAGAGCTATGGGAATTGTTAGATATTTGTTACCTGCTTGGATCAATCTTTGCTTTGGCCTGTTTTTGGATATTGGCCGAAGTACAGATTTGGTGGCAACTGGGGCCAGGGTTTACACATTTTCTACGTATTGGGAAATACCAGCCAGAAACGCCACTGCCCAGTGCAGTGCAAGTACTCGCAGCAATCACATCAAAATAGTTGTCGAAGTAAGAATGGAAACTTCGTTTATGTCTTCCCTCACCTGTCAAAAGTGAAGGCAAGGTTGTAATATCAACTAAATTATGAATATCAAGTGATTATCAACAAGTGATTATAACTGGTTAGTTGAGACTACCTTTCCCTCTATACGAAATTCGCATACCCATTATGATAAACCCATGTTGGATCATGTTGCACTTCTTGAGCCCCAACTCAATGTTGAGCTTGTGTCATGGTAAATTCAGACCCCCCTCAACTCAATGTTGAGCTTAGCTTGTGTCATGGTAGCCTGAAGCAGGCCAGTGTCATGGTAAAATTCATTTTTCAATTTTTCATACATACATACGTACGTTTTATTGGAGAATCTTAAGCAATCATTATATCATACCCACTTATATCAGTCTTTTGAGATTGTGAAGTTCAAATTTAAAGTACGGTCGACTCAAATTTTGCATTGTGTTTTTTTGAGGAACATTTGAAAAAGGCAAATTCAGCGTTGTTAACAACATTCAACTGAGGAGGGGATGACAAAGTTTGTTTTGCCAATGAGCATTAACTTTGCAATTATATGTCCAAGATTGTATAAGCACCAACAACACTAGACCTTTGTTTTTTTATTTTAAAAGGCATGTATAAGTACACGACAAAAGATTATAACAAGTTGTGGTAAACTAAGTTATTATGAGTTAGTAGAGCCGACTAAATAGAAGGTCGCAAAATTTTTCCGGACGTACAAAAAATTTCCGGACTTATAATTTTTCCGGACATACAAAAGTTTTTCCGGACATATCGTAATTTTTCCGAACCGCTTCAAATTCGCACGGTTCCGTGGTTCCCGTGCAGATTTCGGCCAGATTTCAAATTCGTCTAGTGTCGTGTAAACGAGTTAGAGTACATGTTTATTTGAACCTCCAGCTGACTTGTTCCTTTTACATTTTACTGTAGCTTTACCTTAGTGTAAGTTTAAAGTTGAAAAGAATAGTCCGTCTAGACAAGCTCAAACTTGTGTTAATTAAAGAATAAAGTTAATTTAAACCCTTCTGTTGTGGCCAAGGGGCAGCCTGTTCAACGGGCTGGCCTGGCTTATGTATCTAGTACGAAATAGCCTCTCAAATAAGATGCTATTTGGCTTTGATCTTAAGAGGATTAATCACAAGTAATTTTCATTGTTTCCATAAGAAAATATCTCGTCGGTTGCCCTACTTGGGAAATGGAGGTCGCTACCGTGAACGCTGTTACAGTTTTTATAGGCATGCGCATCAAATTAATATTTACCCACAATTTGTACTGAAGGCAAATTGCAACAAAACGACTCCTGTTTTTTTCGATATCTTCTAGTTTGTCCCTCCCGCTTTCGCTGCCTTAAACTGTGCTCAAAAGTCGAGATGCATGCATGGCGAAGCAGCCGAAGTGCTTCCGATGTACTCTACTCGAGTGAGTTGAGGCAACGAGCCGCTGGAATGGGTACTTACAACCCTGGCGGCATGGCTTTGTATATAGATATAGCCGCGAATTTAAAATAAGCACTGTAATAACCAGTTTCTTGGTTTTCTGGGGACGTATCGGAGATACAACCCAACAAAGAACAAAGAAAACCGACTCACATTTAAACTAATAAGTAAAACAAGCAGCCGTTAGCAAGAGTGCAATTATAACATCATTTTACAACCACTTGTATATTTCTTGGATCTGAAAATTATTCACAGACTAGTGGACTTTCTTGACAAACAAAATAAAACAACGTTATGTTACTTATGTACTTTACCTTGAGAGGCGAAAACCTGGGCAAAAATTGCAGCGGATAAAACAATGAGGAAAAGATGGAATTTCATGATCTAGAATAATTTTGAAATAAATGTTAATTTATTATTGCGACGAAATTGCAGCGAGACGTCCGAAGGAATGTCACAGCTGACAGCTTATGAAAATACAGTAATGCAACATGGAATAATTTAGTCTCATGTATGGTATACTAAAGGTAATAATACCATTTGTTTGTTTGTTTATTTGCTTGCTATTTTGTCTGTTTAACTCGGTTAGTCTTAGGTAAAGGAACCCCAAATCGTGTCTTATTTATAGGTCTCAAACACTTTCGTATAAACGACCCATAACCCCTGTATGTTTTCCTTTTCGTGGCGGCATACAATACTTAAGCTCAGACACGACACGTACTGTGTCTGGTTTCTTTTAAAATCGATTGTTTTTATGGTTTGTGAACACGAATATATGAATATGAGCCCCCACCCCCCCCCCCAATTATCGAGCTTGCTACGCTGAGACAACTCAGCTTCGCCTCGTTGACTATTCGCTCTGACAGTGGCGTAGCTAGCGGTCCCGCTGTCCCACCTGGCGGGACTAACAATTTGCAAAAAAATGAGGAAATGTTTTATAGTGAAGCTTTGCTTATTCTGAACATTTAAATACTAATTATGATCATTTTTCAGTGCTTTCATTTGTCATTTATTTAAAGTTTACGCAATATTGACCTCTTTGTTGTCTAGCAACTGATACCCTGCAGAATTAGCTAATTTCCACGCAATTTATTGCTTACTCACGCATTTCGTGAATCGCATGTCTCGTGTTCCGCTGATTTTCATGTGGCGGAATATGCAAATTCTGGTTTCTGGTTGGATAATTGGCGCAGCGCATGCCCAGAACGGTTGTTTTCATTGCCGAAGTCCGCTATTTTATGAAGGCGGAGGTTGTTAATATTCAAACCTTTCTCACGAAGCTTTCTGCGCGAGTATTCACGACTGGGCTATCTTTAAAACAGGGAATCCGGGAATCGGGGAATCCGGGAATCAGGGAATCGGGGAATCCGGGAATCGGGGAATCCGGGAATCGGGGAATCCGGGAATCGGGGAATCCGGGAATCGGGGAATCCGGGAATCGGGGAATCCGGGAATCGGGGAATCCGGGAATCGGGGAATCCGATAACAATTTTATAAAAATTTAAATAAAAATTTTATTCAATTTACAATTTATGCAATAAAAGAAAATGAAGCTTAATCGAAAGTTGAAGTCGTGAAAGAAGTCGTGAAAAAACCCAGTTTAATACTTTTAAACGGGCATTTAAGGTGGCTCCCTACAGTTATTCTTGTTTAAGTAATAATTCCGTAAAACAGGCTTATTCGTGCAGAACGCGAATTCTTTTCGACTTGGTGGCAATATTGGTCACCTAAGGAATATTTCGAACTAGATTTCGACGATGTCAATGTTCCCATGGCAACATGACGACAGCATAAAGCCTTCCAATTTAACCCATAAATGTGCCACTATCTCAAAAACGATGTCGGTGACCTATCTTTTTTATTTCATATATCAATAAAGAATGATGCTCTGCAACTGTAGTGAAAGTTTAAAAAAATTCTGTAGTGTGTGATTTTTTTAAAAGCGAAAAATTTATTGCGAAATTTCCACAGTACAGATTTTTTTAAAATTTGAAATTTATAAAATTTACCGCAAAATAAATTCGTGGTCAAAATTTGAAGATAGGTCACCGATGAAACTAATGAGTAAAATGCAAATAAAGTTAGAAAATAGCCTCGTGTAACTCGAGAAATTCCCCTATTGAAAAGCGTCGCTGACTAGTAAAAGATTGTACGCGGGCGCAGAACGAGTTTTCATTCAGCAAAATCACAGAGTAAGGATATACAGAGGCGGAACTCGAGGCAAATCATGTCCCCACTTTTTTAATGCGCATGCGCGACCCTCTGGCAAGTGTCATGCACATTTTTTATCAGGAAAAAGATAGGGAAATGCAAAATTTTGGCAGTAAAACGGCGATTTTAAGCGCAGTAACCGATCAATCTTCATTTTCTGCACGAATTTTGCAAATAAATGGCACACTGCGTCTTCTTAGCGAAAGGGAATTGAACGAATACCATTTTTAACGGCGAAAATGAGAAAAGACACCCGAAGGAGTGAGAATTTCTGGCAATCTGAAGATTCGATTCTGTAGACCTGAACTCCAGCTGGAATTTGGCAACTTTATATGTGAGTTTTTTTTCTCTAGCTCATATATATGAAATTATCAATATATTTTTGTGAAGTGCAATGTTGTATGAAAGGGTTGTCGTTAATTTAAACATTGCATAAACTGAAATAGCATTCAGATACGAAAAATATGAACATCAACATTCAACATGGACTGATGGACATCGAGCCACAGTACTCTAAAGTTCTCATATAGACTTTATTTAACTTATATGTTGACCCAATGGTGAGGGATTGATCAAATTATACTTTATAGTGATTCCCCTAGATTAGTGCATTGGTTATTGTGCAATGACAACCTTTTTTTGGCTCTCAAAGGTCAATAATTTCTCAAACATGCCAAGTCTGTACATGTTTAATAATCTAATCTGTTTATTTTTTATTTTGCTTTTCTAGATTGCCAATCATTCCTGTTGAACTACATTGTTCATTACAATGAATCAGATGCAGATTCTTACAACTATGTTAATTTGTTCACCTGATTGGGGAAAACCTGAGACTATTTGATCTTATATTGGAATGCCTACCAATTTTACATAGCCTCAGGCAATGTTTATATAATTAATCTTGAGTAATAGAGATGCTGTACCCCCTGACGGAGTGACCTTACTACCTGGATTATCCCACTAGACAAGACAAGTTCAAAACTTTCCATGCAAACACTTGCATGGCAGTTGCTATAATAGGATATGAATATAGTTTTGCCTTGCCAGGGTGGCTCGGGGGGGGGGGTAGGATTTCCCTAGTACCCGGAGACCATATAGACAGGCCGTCGGATTACTGTAATAGTTTAATTGAGGTTCAAAAAAGCAGCCCCCCCCCAAGTGGTAGGCCTGCTCCCCAAATCCAGCCCCCCTTGGAAGATGTACTGTAAAGGTAGACAATTTTACTTGTTAGCCCAACTTTATTATTCTGTCTAACACCAGACGATCCAGTTAACCCATCGAGTTGCATTGCATGTGCCCTGATGCACCCTACTTTATTATTTTACTCTGTCTAACGCCAGACGATTTTACTCGTCAAGGGGTGAGCACACTTTAACAGGCAAAGTATTAATTGGGAATACTTTCTCTTTTAATGGGAAACTCTTTATCAATAAAAGGAACAATGCAATTATTCATAGTATTTAATTTTTCATATAAAGCAAAGACTGTAAGAGGAAACATGGATCATTGGCTACTTTTTTTATTTAGTATAAATTTTCATGACAACATGTGGGGTCAACTATAAAGGAAACAGTTATTGCCTATTTTGGAATAAAAAAATTAGAATTATAGCAATATTCATTGACATTGAACACATATTTAATTTATTTAGTTTTTGAATAATTTAAGTTCTTAAAATAATATGTATATAAATGTGAAATAAAATAAACAACATTTATTAAAATAAACTTTGTATTTTTAAACCCCAATTACACTGTTGTATTTACATTTCACTGTTGTAGTATTTACACTGTCAGTAGTATTTACACTGTCAGTAGTAATTACACTGTCTGTAGTATTTACATTTCAAGACCTTAACCAACATCATTCCTTGGAGTTTCTCATGACAAGATGTCTCAACCAAGATCCTCTGGAGAACTTCTTTGGCCTCATTAGGCAGCAGGGGGGGGGGGGATTGTGACAACCCATTAGTCCCATCCAGTTCACCAGAGCATTTTGCATATTATTTGTAGATAACATTTTGACACCACTTTCAATTGGCAGCTGTGCTGAAGATTCTGATGCCTATTTGATTGCATTTCACCCTAGCCAATCTGATTTATCTGCAGGAAATGATCAGACAAGCCCACCACTAATCCAAGCAGTTGAAGATACCGACTACAAAACAAATGAAATTGAACAAAACTTAGTCTGCATGAACTTATGTGTCAAGCTATTTATTAAGGAAGTGCCTTATCCAACATAGCTGTCCAATATGCCATCATAATTTTGTGACAAAGGATGTCAATGACAGTAGTCTCTGCTATTCTGCATGTGAAAGACCTCTGACCTTTGAAGGCATGAGCATGCCTTATCCGTAAAGAAACGTTTCTTTGCTGGAGAATATATTTGTGAATGTGGTTATTAGTTGCACAGAAAGTATTAAAAACATAAGTAGTTTAACTTTTAATTCTTGCTCACAAATCGCAAAGCTACATGCATGGAACCTGATGGACGTGTTTCAAATCAGCACTTATGCTTTCTTATTAATGTAAAAGACAGGAAAGCAATACGTTTGGCCCGCATTAATTTAGCGAAATGGGAATCTGCTTCTTGGCAAGAACATCACAAGCACCGAGATTGTAATTTGTATTATACTATTTTTTCTTTGTATTTAGCCTATAAACGTATATCTTTTTACATAAAAATAACCACTTACCATTTATCTTTCAAATTTGAGTCCCAAAATGAAGATCGGTTGAGCAACTTCGCAAAAATATTTATTTTTCTACTTTCGAACGGTGTTTTTCCTATGCCTTTGACTGAAAACACGACGAATGACACTTGCCAGAGCAATTTGCGTGGCGCGTGGAAATGACGTTGCACGGGGACACAAAGAACAAAGGAATCGCCGCGAGTTCCGCCTTTGTATACTCTGTGGCAAAATCGAGCCGCAATCACAGATGAGGTAAATACAGATGTGAATCTTACGGCAAATTATGTCACACCGATTAAATAAACTTTAAAATTGTATTAATTCACTATTTTATTAAATTTTGATAATGCAGAGAAATAAAACTATACATATTATAGAAGTATTCATGTTTTTTTTATGCCAGAGTTATGTTTTGAGGAATTTATATCATTCGCTGTTTTGTTATTATA